TGAACTTCTTTACTATTTAAATGGTAGGATAGGAGAGAGAAGATAGTGAAAAAGTTAACGAAAGACAATGAGATATAATTTCGTGCATCGCACAAAGACGTTACTAGTTAATCTATATTATTAACTTCACAAGGATGGGAACTAAAAAATGAGGTAAGTACGTGTTTCAGACCTTCATTTTAAAATTGAAATTAAAATCTTATTTTTACTTTAAAGGATCAAAAACGAAACTTTATTACTAAATGAAAAAAGAATAAATTCTTAAAAATAAAGGAAGTCATAATTGGTACATCTACAACATCATGAAATTGGCACTTAGTAATACAAAGGAAAAAGGATCTGACGAGAAAAAAACATTGTAAACTAGACAGACGGGAACTACAATTTAAGAGCAGCTATTGCTTCAGGTTTAAAATCAACTTTCAGACCCAACACTCTCCTCACCTTGGTTGGAGTCAATCTCTAGGTCATGGGTCCTGCGTTCTCACCCCAGAAATCAAGAATTGCAAATACCTTTTCTAAGTTTAGGATAGTGGCCATCTGGGTCAAATGAGCAAATTTGTCTCTAACAGTTCTCTGTGTCATACTAGAGAAATGGCTTACTAGAGCCCTAGCATCTCGGTCAAGTTGAGGACCTCCAAGCTGACTGAATCGTTTTTGCATCATGATCACTTCAAGCCTTTTTAGAATGAAGTCAATGACCAAATGAACAAATGAGTCATAATTGTTATAAGTCATTAGCGGCTGGAGCCATGCTACATTGATCTCAACAACATGGAGAAGCCTTTGGACCCATGGATCATTCACCTCATTGTTAGCATATTCAGCTTCAGATAGCTCGTAGCTAATGGTAGCCACACTATCTAATTCTGAACGGATTCAGGGCATCATAGTTGCTACAAGTTGCTCTAATCCAACATTTAAGGTTTTCTTAAAATTGTTGCTCATCTCGCCCAATTCAGACAAACGGGATTTAACTCTCTCTATCCACTGGTGTAGGGAATACCTGAAACCATAAATTGAGTCGGATCAACACAAACCCAATAGACGAAATGAATACTTAAAAGATTGGAGGTCTATCACATAACCACAACAGAGAGAATTAGAAAGATAACATAAAGGATTATTCAAAATTTTGCCCAATTTAAAAATGGGAACTGAGCATCAAGGCATTGCAAAGATGAATGGATAAGCATATTAGGGAACCAAAGAACCCACATCAATACTAGACGGGTCATTCTGAAGGCTGTCAATAGTGTCACTCTGCTTGGGAAAATGAATTGATTTTAGAGTCATTTTCTATTCTATCAGCAATTTAGGGCATGTTCACTAGGAATGACAGTGAATCAGAAAAAAAAAATGGATATTCGTCCGAATCCACCACCCCGTTTGAACCGGAGATGGACCATACGTATTAGACGGTAGACATATATGGGAATACCCATATAAACCCGCACGGGAATGGAACTGAGGATGGAAGTGGGGATGGACTAACACTTACACCTGCCCCAAACCCCAACCCCCAAACCCGAAGCCCTAAACCCCCGAAAACCCGAACCCCAAACCGAAACCCTGAACCCCCCTAAACCCTAAACCCAAAACCCCAACACCCCTAGACCCAAGACCCAAGAACCCAAACCCCAAAGCCCTCAACCCCGAACCCTAAACCCAAAACTCCAAACTCCAAACCCCAAAACCCAAAACCCTAAACCCTTTTTTTTTTTTTTTTTTTTTTTTTGAGCTGCATTAAATGAGCTGAATTTAAGAAGAATTCCTTGCTGCCTAGATCTCCAAGCTGAAACAAAGTCATTCACAAAGCCTCAGTTAAAGAAAAGTCACCTGCTGCAATCCTACTGAACCAGTCCAGCTGAGACATCACGCTGAACAGTCCATCAAAACATCCAGCTGAACAAAAAACCAGCTGAACAGTCCATCAAAAATCAGCTAAACAGTGCGTGAATAGTGTCATGAACAGTCCAGCTGAACAGTGCCTTGAACAGTCCAGATTTGTTGCTGAAACTGTTGAAATTCCTGCAGAAATGCAAGTCCAGCTGCAGCAGATGAAAAATACAGCTAAACGATCCAGATGTAGTTCTTGCTGAAGCATTCCAGTCAAAGCAGCGCACTCCAGACAAAACAACCCACTCCAACTACAAAGTGTGCATTAACACTTAAAATTCTTTCTCCTTAACAATCTATATTGCCTTTGATCTTGCTGAAGGAGAAACCGAGCTTCAAATGGCAAGGAATCTGCAGAAGTTATCTTCGTGTCCATACGATCTTGAACTCCTTTATTAGCTAGAAAATCAGCAACCGAATTCGCCTCACGATAGACATGCAGAATTTCAAAAATTCAAATTGCTAAGAAGCTTCTCCAACTTATAAAATAATGTCAAATATCTCCAGTTACACTCAATGCTCCCCTTAACCATATCAACTACCATTTTAGAATCTGTCTCAATCAACACCTTATACTCAGACAACCCAAACTGATGAAAAAGTTTTAATTTATCTAATAAAGCTCTAATTTCAACTTCCATATTAGTTCCCATTCCATAAAATTTGGAAGTTGCAATAATCAACTGGCCCCATTGATTTCGCAATACAGCTCCACCACTAGACCAACCTGGGCTCCCCTTAGCTGAACCATCAACGTTAAGCTTTAAGGTACCATCCAGCAGAGGAGACCAAGACACCCATACAGCTCTTGCCTTAATCGGAGAAAGATTAACATTAAGAGATGACAGCAGAATTTGTCCTTTCCTTGAATCCGCAACTTTAGGCCTTACGACATAGCTTTGATACTTTACAATCCGCATGATCTTGAAAACTAAAGCAGTGGAATGAAGCTTAATCCCTTCAAATTGTCGCCTGCACCTTTCAGTCCAAAGCTGCCAATAAATAATTAAAGGAACTCCTCTAATTAATCCATGACACATTGACTGCTTTTTATAAATTCTTGCTCATCTTCTAAACCTCATTAATGGGCCTTCACCAGCTACCAATGTGAAACCCATAGCAGAAGAAATAGCAGCCCACACAGCTTGGGCATATGGACATTGGATAAAAAAATGTTCCTCAGACTCCGACTGCATCATACGTAACGAACACTTACTTGCCATCACAATACCAACAGACACAAAATTGGAATCCATAGGGAGAGCATGTTTGAAAATTTTCCAAGTAATGAGCTGAGCAGAAGTAGCAGTATTTTGCTTCCATATAAGTGTAGCCAAATCACTTGTTTGCTCTCGATGCCTAATAATCGGCCAAGCAGACTGAACAGTAAATTTGCCTGTTGAAGACGGAGTCCATACCAATCGATCCTGCCTATCATAATATGTGACTTGCAATGAGGAAATCTCTGAAATTAACTCCTCAGTCAGCTCTGAACAAGATTCAGAATTCCATTGGTCATTACAAAATACATCTCTCAACTTAGGAAAAACCTGTGGAAACTCTTACACCCTCAATAGTAATGGACCTTGACCTGTCCAATTATCACACCAAAAATCAATTCTAGCACCATTCCCCACTATCATTTGTGTGTTTGAGACCACTTCTTCAAACCATGACAACAGATTCCTATAACTCCTTGAGTAGGAATGCCTTCAATTTCTTAACACATGCTGCTGACGAAGATATTTAACAGAAAAAATCTTGGACCATATATATGACCCATGCAGCAAATTCCAAACTTGCTTCATATGTAGCGCATTAGAAACATCCTGAAACTTTCGCAATCCAAGACCTCCCTCCTCCTTTGGAACAGTCAGCTTAGCCCATGAACACCAATGCCTCTTTCTTACTGCTGCTTTACTAGACCAAATAAATGATGCTATAATAGAATTCATTCAAGCAATAATGCCCTTTGGCAAATTCATACAAGCTAAGAGATGCACAGGTATTGCACTGAGAACAGATTGAACCAGTACAACCTTTCCCATATTAGATAACAGCTTTGCATACCACCCTTCCAGTCTTGATCTAAACTTCTGCAACAAATCCTCATAATAAATCAACTTAGGCCTGCCCTTTATAACTGGACACCCTAAATATGTAAAAGGACATTTTCGAATGGGAATTTCTTCTTCAAAATGAACAGCCAAAGGGCTATGGTCCAGACTCACTTTCTTCTTCAAATCCCCCAGATTTTTGGTTTAAAAGGGTCCATCTTCACAGGCCCATTATCTTTCTCTGCCACCTTCAGCCCACTTGACCCAATAGTCTCTCAGTCCTTGTGCCAAATTTAACAAACTTCATTCTTGGATTACGCATCTTCTTATTACCTAAGTCTTAGTCCAAATCCATTAATTTTAGCTTATCCACTCAACCAACACCAAATATGTATAGTTACTCTAACCTTTTGTGGACCAAACCACACGTCACCTCTCCCCCTACTACTACCACATATTCCTCCCAATCCCTTTGACTTCTTCAACAACCTCTCGCCTATCGCTCTAATTTTTTAAACTACCTTCCCCAGACAACCTCTGTTTCATGTTGCGACTAAGTCTACTCATACTCAAGAAGACCTTAATCCTAATGGAAAAAGACTTCCAGTTAAAATCAACTTTGAAAGACGTCTAGAGTAGACCCGATTGAGGCTTACAAACTAAGATTCGAGCTCAAACAAATTATCGAGACTTTTAGTTTGTCAATCAACATCAATAAACCCCCCACAACAATCTCCAATCTTCTTGAAGTCTTTACGTCGCCACAAATGGAACGTTAAACATTCTACTGCTCCAACCTCCCAAAATACAACACTTGGTTTCTAGTGACATTGGACTCATGACACCTCACTGAAGCTTCAATGTAGCAGATCCTTTCAGATGAACTCTTTCATTCTTACATATCCTCTTTGCCTACAAGCTATCTTCACAAAAGAAGATAGCTTTATCCGCTTGAAAAGCTCGTAACCTTATAATCATTTTCAGAACCTTAACAAAGAAGTTTGTATTATCTTCCAAGACACATATATAGTCCCTAACACATACCAGAACACATCTCCATCTTTCTTCTTCTTTTAATAGAACTTCATGACCCTTAAAAGTCTTAGCATCTTTGGGTTTGAGAACCTCAACCCATGCCCTATTTTCCCTCTCCTTTAAAAAAGGATATCAACCACCATGAACATCCTCCAACAATATTCAAAAAGCCTCCTAACCCCTTCCTTTAATACTTTTAGGAATAATCAACCCCCTTCTCCTACCATTATTCATCATCTGAGTAACTCCCGTAAACTCCCCGAACCTACTATTTTCCATTTCAATCCACACACAATGTCCCTCCTAACCCCTTCCTTTAATACTTTTAGGAATAATCAACCCCCTTCTCCTACCATTATTCATCATCTGAGTAACTCCCGTAAACTCCCCGAACCTACTATTTTCCATTTCAATCCACACACAATGTCCATCCTTCCTATATTTCCTTAAGAATGCATTCTTTCTATTCCAACACAAAGCTGCATTAAACATATCCATCAACCATCTCACAAAATCCATATTCAATGAGCATGAGAATGATCCAAATAGATTCCATTCCATTGTACGAATCAACTCTCCATGTAAACCTTCAAAGTGCACATTAAAACATGTTTGTTCAATCTTAATCTCCACCGCTACCTTTTTAAGATACACAAAGATGAAGCAATCATATTTGCACCAGAACTTGCATGGCACTAAACCTTACGATTGTCAGATATTGCTAAGAATATTGGGGAAGGATCTCTAGTCTTAATAATATCACTTGACAGGATGCATGAGTTTTATAACTTGTATGTCAGTGCTGGAATATTGCCATTCAATGAAAGCCTATAGGGAGATGCTATATGCATGGGCTAGGGACCTCCACCTATCTTTCAGCTTGTCACGATTTCAGTTTTGACAAAGTTTTTGATGTTTGAGGTCAACAAGTAGCTGACTTAAGATGTGGGGCTGTACAGATTTTCTTTTCATGAGGTGTTATTCAGCTAGTCTGGGTTGTAGTGAGTCTAGAGTGTTCTTAACTCTGCTTTTGTGGTTTTGTGCTTAGTGTTTAAGAGGTATGCCTTCTCGTCCACGAGGACAAGTATAGAAAGGCCTCATCACGTTGTACATGGTTCAAACTGTAGCAGTTGAGCACCTAAAAGTTCCTATCCAGAAATATAACATGTGGCACTGTTTTCAAATTGATGTTGGGACTTAATTTAGTACCCAAGCTAAACATGGTCCCTAAAATATTACCAGAAATGAGAGAGGTCTATGTTCCATTAAATAAAATCTGTATATGGAAAGAGAAGCAAGCCAAGACCACATTGTGTTCTGTATGAACTAGCAATTTTAGTATACTCCTTTAAGAAATGAAACTTTGAATGCAAAGCTCTACCCAGACAAAGAGCCAAAACAAAAAAATCCTTAAGAAAGATGGGGACTGAATAGAAATAACCAAAAGAGAAGTACAGTTGCCACTGACCTCTGAACATTGATCTTCAATCTCATGCCGTAGTTTCAGTGCATAATCGCAACTGACATCCATGTTATTTAAAGCTGTTGCAATTTCTGTCCCAGTCTTTTGCACGCCAGCACCACCCATGAACAGCTTCGCTCCAAGGTTAGGCTCCCTCATTTTCTGCTGCAACGCTTCATTATACTCGCCACCCAACAAACTCACAGCACTGCTCAGTACCTCAATCACTGAGTTAATATTAGACGTGGATATCGACCTCCTGCAGCAACTCTGCAGAACATAGAACACGTCGTCCACCATGGACGTTGTGAGGCTGTCAAGTACATGCTCATCAATGCTAATAGCCTTCCTCACATTTTCCACCATGAAGAACCCCTCCAAAATCACATAATAACCCGTAATTTCCTGAACAACTTTACTGAAATTTCCGCTCCTAAAAGCCCTGGTTGCTCGGGGAAGCAATTCCGGATCAACTGAACTCAAACCTCTTATCTTGGACACCATATAATCAGTGTAGTCCTCACCCAACTGTGTCAATTGCAAAATCTCTTCCAAATACAATTCGATCTCCCTTGGGTCAGGTCCTTGGACTCCAACAGAAAGTAAGTTACTCTTGTAAGTATTAATTTCGGATGTCAACTTAGCCAATTTCCGATATTCCATGTATTTCTTTAAAATTAAGGAACCCCGAGAATCACACTCATTTTGGAGCTCACATATGGCATACACAATTCCATCTTCACCGCATAGATTACTCCTTAAAATCTCATTATTTTCTTCTATGGCTAACACAATGTCTTTGAACTAATTCGTCAAACAAGCAACAAAGTTCACCTGATTTTGATTAGTAGCAGCGGCAGAGGATTGCTGTTGCTCCATCGATTCCACCAATTGCTCGAATTCGAGCCTAGATCTCATCGAAATTACTTTCTTCAAATAACTTATGTACACTTGCAATCCTTCTTCCTCCAAACCGAGAGGAGAGTATAATCTAATGAACCGAAGGATCGCCGGGTGGTCCCGCTGATCCACAGCAGCCGATAACCTCTTCCTGACAATTCCTTCAGCTGTTTCTTCGATGCTAGCAACAGTTCTCTCTGATCCGAACCAGAATCTCTGTATTTGGCATCGATCTGGAGGAAGGTCTGGATGTTTTTAGCAGCCGATTCAAATCTTCAGTTTGGAGAGCTTTCTTAACGCCATCAATGCAATTACCTCTCTCTACGATGGCGTCGATGCGGAGAAGAGTGTCATTGACGCGGGACTGAGCGAGATCAAGTTGGCGGACTTTGCCGCGGACCTGATCGGCGAGATCGCATGTGGAGCGGACATTGGAGAGCATGTGGTCGGAATCGGCCTTGACGATCTCAAGGAGTTCGGTGGATTTGTGGAGGTTGGACAGTTGTTTGTCGACATCGGAGCGTTGGGAAAGAATGGTGTCCAGTTCAAGATCCAGGGCTCGTTGGTAGGCAATGCATTCGTGGAGGAGACGAGTCATGGCTCCTACATCGGTGAGTTTTCGAACGTGTTCGAGGGCTTCAGGAGTGCCGAATCGGACTGTTGAAGAGGATAAAGACGAATTGATGGCTGTGGATGTATCGTTCTTCTTGGGGTGCTGAGATTGAGCCGTAGGGTGTCGTGGAACCCTATTGTATCTTCAAAACTTAAAAACCAAATTGAGAAACCGACTTAGGTTGTTTCGTTTTTTTTGTTTTTGTTTTTAATTTTTAAAAAAATATATGTTTGATAAATATTTTTGTTTCCAAAATGATGTTTTGGAAAATATCCAAAAAAAAAAACAGAACAAAGCGGATGCCGCCTCCTCCAATTAATGAGGTCTTGACTTCAAACCCCCTTAGCAGCAAAAGTTTCTTTTTTTTTCCTTACACCATAAAACGCATGACTTCTCATTTTTTTTCCTGACTTCTCATTTGTCTGCTCGCTGGTTGTCCGCAAAGGAGTAGCTTTCTGGTTCGTCTCTCTGTTCACTAGTTCGTCTGGAAGTGCTCGCTAGTCGTCGCTCCGTTGTCTCCGGTGAAACTATAATCTTTCCGGCGAAGCTGTAAGCTCTCTCTCTGCTCGTATCTCCACTTTGATTTTTTTTTTTTTGCAGATGTCTGAATTTTTGTTTCAAATTTGTAGATCCCTATTTTATTTTTGCAGATCAATACTCATTTATCTCCTCTGTTATATTATTGCTTATACTTCAATGGAACCATTGATATTTCTCTTGTTGATTGTTTAGATCTATGATGATGTTGTTCAGATTTAGGGTCTATTTTTGTAGATACGTAATTTATTTTTACAGATCTATACTGTATTATTTCAGATCTAAGGTTAATTTTTTTAGATCTAACTTCAAAATTTATTATCACTTCAAAATTAATTTTAGCAGGAAGAAGGTATCGATAAATTCAAATCCTAAAAATCGATCTAAGCATCATCTTATAACTCTTTAAAAGAAAATATTTTTTGTATATTTGCTTAAATCAGAACCCTCTCAAGATCCACGAATCAAGATGCTCTACCTACTTTTGGCATTCGTATAAATAAACCTAAGTCTAGC